ACCAAGAGTTACTAGAACTAGAAAAGCTACGGGATAAGGCAAGAAATGAGAAGGAAGGCACTTGGATACTATAAGATAGCCTCTTCTTATAATATAGTAAACTATTTATACCTAATAATATAATAATACCCGAGATACTCTTATATACTACTCTTATTTAGGAGATATATATATAGCCCCTAATAGGATACCCAAAACAAGCCAAGCTTTAATAGCTTCTTTAGGCCCGCTATTACTAGCCAGGCCAAGATATAGATATTAATTAGTATAGAAATAACTACTATACCTGCTAATAATCCCATATCCCTAGAAATAAGAAGCCAGGGCTCTTATATCTATTACTAGTCCCTAATCGCCCCTAGTAGTATATATTAGTGGATTTTAAGAAGTACCCAGAAAGTAGAAATAAGTATAATATAATAGTAATCTTTATTAATTACCTGGGCAAGTACCCTATTATGATTCCTATCCGAGATATAGTAATAGCTAAAGAGTTAGCGCCCCTATTTCTTACCTATATAGTTTGCCAAGTTAGTATCCCGGAAACCATAGTATCTAATTAAGGCCCCTAGTTCATATCGGATTTCTAAAGCAAGTTCTATAAATATATTAGTATAAAGCTCAAGTTATTAACTACTAACTATCCCTAAACTAATAGCCAGACGGAGATTATTAACTAGTACTTCGACTAATAGCTATATCCCTATATGAATTACTACTAGGATAATTAGGACGAATAGGTAGTAATAATTAACTACTAGCAAGTAGCTCTAGTCTATAAGACTATAGGCTAATCCCTGTTCCTTATAGAGAAGGGCTATAAACCGCGGATATTATTTAACTAGAAAACCTAAGTATAATCGGGTACCTCAAAGGAAGAGCTAAATAGACAGGAGGCAAAGGCCCTAGTAATACGGCTTTACGAATTATAATAAAAGATATAAGAGAATATAATATGAGTATAAGAATACTATACTACTTAAGCTAATAAGTACCGCCGACTAGTAGACTTCGGAGTAAGAGATAAGGTATAGATTACTATTAAGTACTAGAAGAATAATTATCCGAGCCACAAGCTAGCTTACTAAATAGAAGGACTATACGAAATCCTGGAATAAGTGAGATATTTCTTTAGGCTTAAGCTTCCGGAATTAATAAGAATATATCCGGTATTTTATATAGAGAAGCTATATAAAGACCCAGGTAACCTCTTTTCCGGATAAGCAAATCCGGAGCCTCTATTATTAGAACTATAAGACGGGAAAACGAAGTACGAAGTTCAAGAGATATAAGTGGTAAAACTACTTTATAGGAAGCTAAAGTACCAAGTCTAGTAAAAAGAATAGGACCCAGATCCGGAGTAGTATCCTGCTTCCTTATTAAGTAATAGTACCCTAGCTCTTTAGAGCTTCTATAATAAGAACCCCAAATAGCCAGGACCGCCCCAGAATCTCCCCTATTAGTTAGACTATACCAAGAATAATATATTATCGGAACCGTATAATACGGACAGAAATCCTTCAAAGTCACGTATAAAAGGCCCTGGCCTTTAATATGTAACCTATAACTTGGAAATTTAATAGGGACTTTCAAAGCTCGGGAACGAGCTTACTTTAAGGGGGGGAGGTAATATTACGGTTATTATAATATATAGTACTAGTAGGGGTTAGACTAGAGCTAGAAAGGCATCTGGTATCTAAGCAAGGTATCTATAGTTACCTGATTATTACATGTAATCCCGAGCTTAAGCTAGTATATGGGCCCGTATATAGCTTGCGATTATTTAGATCCGAGGCTTCTTTGGGATCCTCTTTTCTCTTTAGCTTTGAATTATTAAAATAGAAATAGTCTAACTATATCTTTTAGGCCCTAGATCTTATACTCGTAATATATAGTACTATATTAAAAGACCTTATATAGGTATAGTATTTCCGGAAGTTTAAGTTTATTAAAGTTCCTTTAATAAATAAAGTTCTTAAAGTTATATCTAAATAGCTTAATATTCAAAAACTTAAATATCTTATATACTATAGTAATATCTAGATTAATTCTATATCTCTATTTTATTATTATTTCCTTAAAATTATTAGTTTCTATAAAAATAAAGTAATCGGATTAGACAAATCTAATAAAGAAATTATTTACTATAATAGGTTCTACTATTATATATTCTATAGGCTTATATCTAGTTCGAGGTATAGTAATTTATAAGAAGGGTAAATTCGTAAAAAGAAGAATAGTTTATAAGATAGATAAGTAAAAGTTATTATATTTAAAATAAAAATTTTATCTATAATAAGAAATTTAGAAAGTGAAATTTAAGAAATAAAATATCGAGATTTTAGAAGAACTTAATAATTCTAAAGCTTAAGAGCCCCAAATATTTAGATAGTTATAAGAAAAGTAATTTTTTATAAAGAAGGTAGTTTTATAAAATAATTAGATAGTTAAATAGCTAACTATTTAATAGTTAGTAAGAATTAGTATTTTTTCTTCTTATAGAACCGAATTATAGATAAAGGCAACTATTATTTCCTCTCTTTAATATAGCTTAGTTAGGCCTTAGTAAGATTAAGTATCTTTTCCTCTTTATAGAACTAAATTATAAGTAAAAGTAATTAATAGTTATTTCCTCTTTAATATAGAATAATAGCTTTATTCCTAAGAAACCGAATCTTAAGTAAGTATAGCTTAATTCTTCTTACTATCTAATCTATATATATAAACTAATTAGTATTAGTTTACCAGAAATATATAGTACTATTATATAATTATAGAATACTATTTATATAAAGTTAGTAAAGTTATTATTTAGAAATAAGAATTATAATATTATAGTTATTACGAGTCGCTTAGACTAATAGATGCATATGCAGGGAAATAGCTTTACTGTATGGGTAATCAGACCAAAAGGTACAATAATAAGGTTAGAAGCCTTATTAGCTATTCTACTATATGAGAGCACAGTGCGCATCACGTGACTAGCCGCGCACGTGATACACAACTGTGACAATAGTATTAATATATAATTCCTAAATCTACTAAGCCTAATAGGAACTAGCTACCGGTCGAGTTACTAATAGAATATAAGATTATATAACTATATCCTATATTCTATATTCTATTACTTATATTCTATTACCTATATTCTATTACCTATATTTCATTGCCTATATCCCGTGTCTCGTATCCCGTAACTATACACGTGACTCCCAAAGGAATAGCTATACTAATACTAGAAAAGTTTATTTGAAATATATTAGATATATTTAGAAAACTAAGTTTCTTATAAACTAATATATTATAGAATATATATATTCTTTTATAGCTTTTTATATTTAAGTTTTCTTTTTCTTAGCTTTAAATTATCTTTATAAGAGACCTTTTATCTTGCTTTTTAAGCCCTAAATACTATACCTATAATAATTAAAAGCTAAATTATAATATTTAGCTTAAAAATATATATATTTTAATAATTAAAATAAAATAAAATAATTATAATCTTATATAATCTTTTTACTTTTATAATCTTTCTTTTTACTTTATAATAAGTAAACTTATATAATATTTTATATTTCTTTATACTTATATATAGTTTTAAAATATATATAATTAATAGTAGTATCTTTATTTATAAAGAAATAAATAGAATAAGGTAGTAATAACTAATCGGCAAAGGCGTTATTAAAATAAGCTAGCGGGCGAATAAAAGCGACGCCAAAATGATAGAAGGCTATATAAGATATCGAGTCGAGTCGGGGGGCGGTCGCGATAGTGAGGAGGAGATTCGCTATCGAGAGATCGAGGGGCTCAATCTTAGCTCTGCAGACTCGCTGTCCTCTAGAAGCAGTGTAATACTAGAGGCGCAGATGAGCTAGAGGTTCGTAGATGGCACGGCGTATAGGTATTGAGTCGTCGCCATCCTAGAGTTATAATTATTAAGTAATTTGCAGAGGCGTAATATATAGTTCTGCGCGAAAGTAGCTTGCACACCTTTCGATTCATTTCGCTTAAAAATCGCGTTTTTAACTGTTGTTGTGCATAACGTTGTACTTTTCGTTGTTCGACATTAATTCGTTCAAGTTAACAGGCGAACCTACGGAGGTTCCGGCATAAAGTAACGGGACTATGGCTCAGAGCCTGTAACTATGCTGTAAGGCCTTGTAACTCGTCAACTCGTCGTCAACAAAGGCCTGTAAATCAGCTCGGTTACAGCAGTCACTACGCTATTTCCCCTGCCAACTGTCTAGTCTGTGCCCTTACTCAAGCGACTCCAAGGAACGATTATAGACAGTAATCCCCTTTTTTAGGTTACAGGGCCTTACAGCATAGGCACAGGCTCTGAGCCCTATAGGCCTGTTACTTTATGCCGGAACCTCCGTAATGTACATAAAAGAAGGCTGCGCTGTCGGTGCCGGCCGTGCAGAAAAGAGCAGCTTTTCAAGTAAATGAGAATTCGGGCTCTTTGTTGCGGCGCCTGACGGCCTTGGCCACCAACCATGAACGTGGGGCAAAACCGGAAATGCATGGCGCAAAGCTGAAAACACGTGGCGTAGAGCGAAAGGTAGATGGCCCAAAGCTGAAGGCAAGCTGAGTGCAAGTGGCGTGTTTGGCGTCTCTGCCAAATAGAAATTGAGTTTTCTGTGTTACCTCACTAACCTTACTTCTATCGAACATACCCCGCTTTTCAATTCGAATCCTAGGTTCCGTCTTCTCATCACTTACCGACTATGCATAAATTCTTCAGAACAATTCGCAGGGACCGACGTAGTCCATCACAAGGTGGAAGTCAGAGCCCGAGGTCGCCTACCGAGCCCGTTGTCTCGCACAAGAGTCGTACAGAGACAGATGGGTTAGACAACGCTACCAATTTAGGCACAATACCTCCGGTCAGAGAAAATGGTGTGACAGTACTTCATACTCCACCAGAAACATTTGTAGAGTAAGTTCCCTTTATGCCCTATTCAGAAAGGCGGTGGTATTCAAAAATCCTCTATAGTTTGGTCTTTGTCCATGGCCTTAATGGCCATCCGGAGCGCACTTGGACTGATCAAGATACGCGATTCTTCTGGCCTCGGGATATCCATAGAGAGATAGATGGGATCCGGGTCGTGACTTTTGGGTACCCAGCAGGGGTCGAGTGGTCATTGTCAAGGAACCTTATGGGAATCCATGACCACGCCGTTGATCTTTTGACATTGCTGCGAAATGAGCGTGACTCGACATCTGTGGTAAGGCTATTATTTCCTTTTTATAGAATGTCATAAATCTAATATATGATACTTTATAGTCTACAACGCCTCTTATCTTTGTTTGCCATAGCCTAGGTGGTCTCATCGTTAAAGAGGTATGGCATGTATATTATATTTACATAATGATTCTAATTATCTTAAGGCTCTAATTTCGGCACAAAATGACGAGAATTTTGCATCTATCTATAACTGCACAAGGGCACTCCTTTTCTTCGGGACCCCTCATCGAGGAGCTACCGCCCTTGAAGCAACTAGGGTTTCCTTGCTTATAGGCATAGCCGGGTTAGCTAGTGCAAGGATACCAGCTAATATTTTAGAGTCTCTGAAGCTCAGGGCAGCTGAGCTTTTCAGGATCAACGATCAATTTAGAAACCTTAGTCTCTTGAGAGAGAACAGGCTATCGTTGACGTGCTTCTATGAGCGGCGAGAGACACCAGGCTTGGGCGACGTAGTGAGTAAAGACATTTTAATTATTCACTATCGCAAGTTCCTCGCCACTTCCAATTTTTCTGACTATGGGCAGGTTGTCGACCAAGATTCGGCAGTTCTAGGTTACCAGGGAGAAGAGGATGTACCACTGGCATTATCTCACCAAAAATTGGTCGCTTACAGCGGCCTGGATGATGATAATTACTATCGTGTGAAGGGAAGCTTGCGGATCAAAGTGCGTCCTATAATTGAACAGAGAACGCCGCAATTGCCAGGTTAGATATTTTAAAAGATTTGGAAACTCGATTGCTAATTTCGGTTAGGTCATGCAATTACGAGTCCAAATAGCCATTTAATGGTCCGGTATTTGACGAGTATTGACTGGATCACGTACTTTGTTATCCTCGGATCTAGATATCGTACTGGCACTCGTGTTGGCGTTACCTGGCTTCCCCGCTACTCCGAATCTTGGGCAAATCTTTTTGATGTCTTCGGTGCGCTGGTTATCCTCGAATCCGCCGACATCAAAAAGATTCCTGTTGATTCGCGAGATCTGCCGCCAGATATGGTCAGTCCTATAGCAATGACGCTGGAATGCGCTATCTTGCTTGCAGGACTTGCAGGCTGCGAAAGGAAGACGGTGCATAATGGGCTTCCAAGACTCGAAGGGACCGGAATATCTCTCAGTTTCGAGAAGGGCCAGCGTTTCATCATCGGTACATATACGCAAAACGGCGACTGTCCACCGTACATGAACTACGGTGGGAGGCTAGTCGCATTTGGAACTCTAATAGCAAGTGGTACGCTCCAATATCGAGAGAGGGAGACCGTTTCTCTAACCGATTGTCGTCAAAGAGGACAACAGAAAGACAGTACTTTGAGCGACCTTCGTCAGAACCACTGCAAGTGCTCATTTAGTGTAGATTTGTCTCTTGAAGATTGGACCCAGACAATGTCTAGTGTCCTAACTCTTCTTACGTCAGACTCTCCAATCTATATCCGTGTTTCTGCGGCTATCGATTGGAAAATACCGGATGCCGTCAAGGTACTTGCACAAAAATGCACGTTTTGGAAAAATATCTCTACGCCTATTATTCCGAAATTGAAACGGGAGCTGGGAAATCTCATTTCTAATAGCAAGGTGGTACCTGTTCCTCGCGCTGAGGCAATCAATATGCCCTTCTGTTTTCAGCAGATGGAGCCTCGGCACCGGGATATGGTTAAAAGTGGTATAAAGTTCGTCAACCTTGGGTGGTCATGGCTATCGGACCCAAGCTTCTACCAAGAACCTTCAGAATCTTCAGAGGAAGGACGCACGTTCGTACGTCCAGACTGGCCGTTCGCATTAGCAACTAAAGATCTGGTCATATTTGAGGAAGTACTGTTATCTTGCGAGCGCTATCTCAATGGTACGCTACCAAACAACACGACAGATTACGCAGGGCAGGCTTTTCTGAGAACAGGTATCGCTTGTCAGCTACAAGAGGTCGACTGGTATCTGACCAACAACTTGAAAGCACAAGCCGCGTGTGAAATATAGATTATACTGCACGAGCTGGGGAATAATCTTCCTGAAGCTGAGAGTAATCAGTAAAGAGCTGCTTCAAGTCCAGATTGGAATACTTCTACTGAAAGAGAGGGCGTACGGATCCTATTGGGATATCGAGCGTTACTGATTGCTATGTTATTTCACCTCGCTTTAGATTACAGTGATTTCATGCATGACGGCGTAGGTTCAACCGGCTCCCAAACTGTTTTGTTTCGGTAATGATGGCATGCATCTTCGAGGGATTTACTTTCTTTCTGTAGGACAGGTTAGTCAAGAAACCAAACCAATACTCAAAGGCAAAGTCTACTCAGTAATACTGAGTTCGAAACTCGCACGCGTTCCCATAGCCCCAAGGTGTATCGGAAGCAAATTACAATTTATTCTAATTTGGGACTATAGTCAGTGGCCACAAGTCTACGCGATTCGCTTAAATAATCGCGATTCTACGCGTTACCCCCTTTAACCTATACTATAATGCGGCCTCTAGGAACCCCTAGAGCTCTTACCAAATCGAATCGAATCGAATTTAACTATTTATTCGATTTGATTTAATAATATCAAATAGCTTAATATAATAATTCGACTAAATATTCAATTTAATTTAATTTAATTTAATTTATAATTAATTAATTAAATTTTTTTATATATAATTTAATTTTAAATAATAATAATAATAATAAATAAGCTTATAATTAGTAAAGATATAAAAACCTAAGTAATAATTTATTTGCTTTAGCTATATAAGAGACTAGTTTATTTTATATAATTAAAAAAATTATTAAATTTAAAGTATTTTATAATAATTAATTTAATATTAATATATATTAATTTCTTTAGAAAATATCTTAAAATAATTTATTAATATATTAAAATCTTAATAAAGTAAATTTTACTATTATTAAAGCCTTAAAAATCTAGTTACTAATTAAAATATATAAATAAATAACTTTTTTAATAATATTTTTTATATAGATATTTAAAAAAATAAATATAAAAAAACTATATAAAACTTAATAATTATAAATTAAATAAGGCTTTTATTTTAGTATTAATAATACTTCTTTTTAATGAAATATATTTAAAGTAATAAAAAGAAGAAAAAATTATAAAATTAAATAATATTTGTTATAGAAAATAAATAAGTTAAGTAAAGTATAAAAATTAATTAATTATTATATAAGGAAAGTACTACTTCTAAGATATTACTTATATTATATTATAGTATTATAACCTTTATTTATAATATAACAATTACTACTACTAGAAATACTAGTAATATTCTTATTATAATAATAAAAATAATAAAAATAATAAAACAAATACTAAGAAAAAGTAATTAATTAAATAAAAAAAACTATTATAATAAGTTCTGCTATTTTTTTAATTACTTAAAACTAGAGCCTGGCTATTATAGGTATTATATAATTATATTTCTAAAATTATTAAAAACCAGAAATATAATAAAATATTATAATTATATTTATTTAATTAGTAAAAATCTGAAATATAAGGCTATAAATTACTAATATATTCTAGTTACTAAAAACCAGAGAAAGTATTATATAATATATATATAGTATATAGAAATATAAATATAAAGGTATTATAGTAGTTTCCTAAAAGATTTGAAATAACTTAATAGAAATATATATATATTTATTTCTTTTTTCTAAAGTTTTTAATAAATAAGCCTTCTTATATTAATATAAAGCCCAGGGAAATATTATATATCTTTTTTATAATCTCGTTCTTGAATTTGCCTTTAGTAATCTTAAAGTATTTAAGTAATACTTTAATATATTTATATTTTAAGATAATAACCTCTTGTTTTATATTTTTAATAGCCTTTTACTTTATATTCTTGATAGCTTCTTATTTTATATTCTTAATAATCTCTTGCTTTATATTAAAGAAGCTAGTAATAGTATTATATCAGACTTATTAATTAAATAGTTACTTCTTAATTAAGATATTCTTATTATTATTATAGTTATTATTACTCTTATTAGAAATTAATAAAAAATAATATAATATAACTTCTTAATCTTCTATAACTATATCTTACTACTTTACTAAAACTCTATTATTTTACTCGAGTATAAGCTTATATAGAACCTAATTATATATCTTAATAATAGTTTTATTATTAATACTAAGCTAAATAAATAAGGGTTTATATAAAAAAAAAGTTTATTTCTCTTTATAAAAAGAAATATAATATTATTAATAGTAATATTATTAATAGTAATATTATTAATAGTAATATTATTAATAGTAATATTATTAATAGTAATATTATAGTAAGTCTTTCGGATTTTATAAATAAGATTCTTAATATTATTATTATATTTCTTATTCTCTATTATACTAATAAAATTATTTATATTATTAGCTAATATATTATAAATAAATAATATATTTTAGCTAACTTAAAATGCCTTTTTTATATAAATAGCAAGTTATATATTAGCTTTAAAGATTTATTAGGTAGTCTGCTTTATTTTTTAAAATAATTTATTATTAATAGCCTTTAAAATACCCTCTTTATTATTAGTTTTTAGAAATTAGCCTGGTTTCTGCTTTTTGAGATTTGGTTATTTAATATTAATATAATTGCTTTTCTTATATTTATTTAATTTTATTATAGAAATATTATATATAAATACTAATACCGGATTTATTATAATAAAAGTATTTATTATAATAAAAGCATTTATTATAGTAAAAGCATTTATTATAGTAAAAGTATTTATTATAGTAAAAGCATTTATTATAGTAAAAGCATTTATTATAGTAAAAGCATTTATTATAGTAAAAGCATTTATTATAGTAAAAGTATTTATTATAGTAAAAGCATTTATTATAGTAAAAGCATTTATTATAATAGAAGTATTTAAGTATTTATAAATTCGGTTAAATTAGGCCTTTATATTAGTATTTTATCTATAATACTTACTAAAGGAAATATATTTAATAGAGTTATTATAAAAGCTAAAATATTCTTTAATATTTACTAATTTAAATATAAAACTAGACTTTAACTTATTATTAATATAATAATATAGTACTAATAATAAAAGCTTGGCCAGAATTAATAAGTTCTATATAATAGCTAGACTACTATTTATATTTATAATTAGAATATAACTATATTATTATTCGGAATTATATAGAATTCTAATTTAATAATAAATAAATAAAGTATTAGAATATATTTATAAATTAGAATATATAAGATAAATTAGTAAATAATAAAA